GAAAAGTACAAAAATAAATAAGGAAGTAAATATACAAGAAAAACATATAAAGATAACATTAGAAAACATTAAAATAGAAATTGAAGAAAAACACATTAGTGAGGAAATACAGAAAAAATCCAGAAAAAGAAATAAGCAAAATAAAAAATGAAGAATTAAAAGAGAAATCGAGAAAGAAAATAAAGCAAATTAAAAACAAAATGCAAGACAAGAAGAATAAAATAAACATAAATGGAAACATTCAGAATAAAAGCAAGAAACAAGATAAACAAAAACAGGTTTGGCAATATTAGAATACATAGGGGATTAATTTCACAAGAATACGATTTTAAGATAAAATATTTGTTAGAAAAGTTAAATGTAGTGTCAAATGCTTCAACAAGGGAAAATCAAAGAAAACATATTATAAAGAAAAAATTGTCAAAGTTGGGGTAAATTTAATGAAAGATGTAAAGGGGTTATTTTCATTAAATCAAATAGTTATAATTTATTATGAATGAATAATAAAATAATTAAAATCAACAACTGAAATGCAAAAGAAGTACAGTTTTGTGAAAAACTTCAAACCCACAGAGCTGGGCTACAAGAAAGAATAGAGCCAAGATTCCATCGCGCCTGCAACCGAAAGACGTGCTATTTAGTGGTATACGGACGGTTCCAAAAACATAGAAGGAACTGGAATAGGAGTGTATGGGCCGAGAACCAAGCACTCCGAACGCTTGGAAAAATACCCAAGCATCTTCCAGGCGGAAATACACGCCATAGAGAAGTGTATCCAGTTTACCATCGAGAAAAACTATCATAGACAAGAGATTATCATCATGTCCGATAGTCAAACAGCCATCAAAGCGCTGAGATCTTACGTAATCAGCTCAAGAATGGTCTGGAGATGCCTAGAACAATTGAATGAGCTAGGCGAGAAAAATAGAGTTGGGTCCCGGGACATAACAGAGTACAGGGTAACGAGATTGCAGATAGTCTTGCAAGGAAAGGGGCTCAAACACCCTTTGTAGGACCTGCGCCGTTCTGCGGTATCAGCAGTAACATAATATTAGGAGAGATTAAAAAAGAATTGGGCAGTAGAAGAACCGATAATTGGAACAATCTCTTAGGGCTGAGACAGGCCAAGATATTTCTGGGTAAATATAACCAGAAAAGATCAAAAGCCTACATCTGCCTGAGCAAGAGCAGGCTACGTATTGTAACAGGGATCCTTACCGGGCATTGCCGACTAAAAGGACACCTAAATAAAGTGAGAATAGTAGAGGATAGTGAGTGCCGATTCTGTGAGGAGGAGGACGAAACCTCCATTCACATCCTAACTGAATGTATAGCACTCCAGAATCCAAGGGCACTATATCTAGGAAGATATCAAATAGAAGAGGGAGATTTACCTAACTTGAAGCCACTTCAAATCCTACATTTCCTTGAGAAAATAGGATTGAAAGGGTCGCTATGGGCATTGAGACATTTCTTTAGTGCAGTGGCGACAGAAGGAAGCACAATAGATCTTTTAGGTCACAGTATATTAACACCCCATTCTCAACATAACAACTGAAGGACAAAAATATAAATAGGAATTCATTTTGTTTTTAAATTTAAAATTTAGAAACTAGATTCATTGTTCTCAGTATTTTGAATATTCTGAAAGAGCAATGATTTTGGGGGATTTGATAAGGAACATTAGAAATCAACATTTATTAACTCTTTTTAAGTAAATAATCTATATGTCGATTTTTTTTTATTGTCAGGAAATTTGTTACAAGATTTAGCAATTGAAAAAGATAAAAATTTTTAGAATTGTCAGAAGTTTTTATAATAGAATTTTAAAATTGGGTTTAGGTATATTGGTTTTTTTAGATAATTGTATATTGAAGTTAAGAAATTAAGATTTGTATATCTTAGAGATAAAATAAATGAAGAAAAAATAAAAGGTACAGAGTATTAACAAATGAAGAACGAGCATAATTTAAAAAGTTGACAAGAAGGTGAATATAAAAGAAAGGTAAAGAAAAGTTTTATTTGAATTGAGGAGAAAAGTTAGGCGGAATTGACCACAGGGAAAATAAGAGTAGCATAAAAGATTATAGAAAAACAACGAAAGGAGAACAAAGGAGAACCATCAGTAAGCAGAGCACTAAAGAATAAAAATCTAAAAATTCGAATTTTTTTTTTAGATTTTTGATTTTATTTGCTTTTCAATTTTTATTTTAACTTGGTTCTAATTTTGCATCGTAAATTTTTAGGGTCAAACCACTTAATTTTATTTTTCATATCAATAGATATTTTTCTAACCACTTTTGTTATAATTCTCTAATTATTTGCTTTTACTTGATCCTACTGATAATCTCAAACTCTACAAAGAATAATTTATAAAAAATATTTTTATGGTAGGTCATGGTTAAAATACAAGTCATGTCCGTGATAACTACGCGCGGCTCCGAATTAAATAAAACGCAAAAAAAATAATTGTAAGCTAGATAATTTTTTCAAGACCGACTTTAGAAACCTCTTTTCCGAGAACACCTTAATATTTATAAGAAGGCAAAACGAAATCCAAATTACATCTCATGACAGTAAAGTTACTAATTTCAAAACTACCCTAGATACTGGTATTTATAGAAATTGAGCCAGCACTAATTCCAAGAAACCAACAGAATACCTGTAATTATTATAAAGTTATAATCCGCTAAAAATAAATATCATCAATATTTTTATTGAATCAGCAGAATAAGTAAACAGTCAACATATAATTCGTGTTCAGAAATAACACGAATAACTATACTTTCTTTTGAAATGTCATGCTTTCACAATCAGAATATTGATCTTGTTCCATAACAAGCTTTATAGCAGTTAGGATATGTACTAAAGCTTTAGACTAGGTTTAAATTTGGTCAGACATACCTAATTTGTATTTTATATAGATAAAATTAAATAATTTATCAAACATGACATGCAAGTCTTATTTATAAATAAATACAACAGTATGTTTTGTGCTTTATTTAGCTGTAAACAAGTTTATTTTTATTATTTTGACAAAATTATGTATAATTCCCATAAGAAGCCATGTATTTTGAACAACGTATGCAGTACCAGCGCCCATGCGGTTAATTATAGAAGCTCAATTAGCATGCGTTTTTTGGGACCGTTTTTTGAGTATGCCGATTCGTCTCCTTATCTCTAGTCTTCATAGGCATACATTTAGGAATAATTTACTGTAAGTAAACTTATTTTGATACTTTAACATGTATGTTTTATAACTGCATATATTTGATTGTAATTGTAAATTGTTCTGGCCCATTTACACTGTTTTGGAACAAACATTTTTTATTTTATTGTCAACTGAAGAAAAGGATTATTATTCGTATTCGTAATTGTATTATCTCCAAATATTAAAATCCTTAACAAAGCCTTAATTGTGATATTTATTTTGATAATAATTATTCTAGATATAAGAATTTAATTAAATTTATTAATAAAGCTTTTTAATCTTGATAAATCTAAAGTATTTTCATAACATAAAGCAAGAAAATCTTAATTAGACCTTTATAATAGAAATTAGAAGTATTAAATTAAAAATTAGTCTAATCGCTGCAAACGCAAAAGTAATGAGTCACATATACAATCAAAATTATGTGTTGAAGTTTTTCGCTTTCAACGATTGTTTTTATTTTTTTTTGTTTCAGGATTTATGGATGGAACACTTGTTTTATTTCGCACGATTAAAGATAGATAAATTTTGATTGTTTTGTGTTATTTAAAATAGTTGTTAATTCAGAAAATATATATTATGTTTATTGTTGTAACTAATAAAGATTCTACAAATAATATTTAGTTAATACAATTTTGTATTACTTATTTTACACCTCTAAAATTTTACATTTTTATTAACATGTGAAAATGTAAAATTTTTATATTTTGTCGAAGTAAATTCAAAAGCCCGCCAATTTTCAAACTAAAATAGCATTACAGCTTTCTATATTACCGACTGAGTATTAGTTGCACAAAACTATCCCATATGTCGCTGATGGCAAACATGTTGCCAAATTTCTGTGTGGAATCTGCAACTCTTAATTATCCTTCCTCCATGGTACATCATCACATGTTTATTATTCTATTCTTTATCGGTCTGCCATTTTGCAGATATCCAGCCTATAGTTTACCAAAAAATAATACGTAAGAATTAATAATAATAATTATTGAAATAAATTCAAGTGCAAAAAATGGATAAATTTGTTACAAGGTCTATCGTAGGTAAGTATTTATCGGTTGTAAAATTATATTATTGTTTTTAATTTAAATTGTTTTTGTAAATTTTGTAACTTCAAGAAAATCTAGTTCGCGATCACCTGTAATAAATAGGAATGAGAATGATGCTTATAATTCTGAGGGATTAATTGACTTTAAATAAAATCATGATAAAATTAAAAAAAAAGTTTTACCCACAAAAGGTTTTCAGCGGTCTGGAGATATTTTAAACAATCTAGCGATAAACGTTGCAATATATGTGGTAAAGAATACAAAACAAGAAGTAACACATCCATTTTAGCAGATCATTTAAGAAGACATCACCCAGCAACACAGGATAAAGATATAAGCGAAGCCAGTTCAAAAAGCAGCAGTAGTGCAAGATCTAGTATTAGGTCGGTTAGCCCATTTTTTAAGAAAAGTCTGTTGTATGATAAATCATTTCAATACAAAAAACAGCTGGACAAAGCCCTAGTTGAAATGATTTGTGTAGATTACCAGCCGTTTTCAATTATCGAGGATGAAGGGTTTAAAAAATGTGTTGCCTTATTGGATCCCAGGTACTCTTTACCAAGTACATATACCTTAGCTAACAAAATGCTTAAAAATACTTACCTTGACGTCTATGCAAAATTAAAAGAAAGTATTGACAAAACAGATTATGTAGCGATAACCTGTGATTCTTGGACTTCTGTGGCCACAGAATCATATTTGACAGTTACTGCCCATTATATAATTGATTTTAAATTGACATTTGTTGTTCTTTCAACAAAATCCCTGTTAAATGGAGTTAATCACACTCCAGAAAATATTGCGGAGATTAAAAAAAAAAAAATGGGGAATGATGCATTAGTGACAAAGTAGTCTGTATTGTTACCAACAATGCCCCTAACATGATCAAGACCTGCGAACTTTTACAAAAAAGGCACTTACCTTGTTTTGCTCACACCATTAACTTGATAGTTCAGGACAACCTACAATAAATAGAAAACACAGTCAAAAAAGTTAAGAGCATAGTAACATTTTTTATTAGGTGACATAGAAAAAGTTCTCACCTATTTTAAAGATGCAACTAAAAAAATTTCAGGTATTTTAAAAATATATATACATAAATTTAGATTGTAATTGTAAGTTGTATGCTAATTATGTCTCTGTCCTTTGGTATTTATAATTATCTTTACACACTACAAAACAAATTGGCAACAGAAGAGGGAAAAATCTTTCGTCTAAACTTAATGCAGTCTGTCAAACAAAGATTGTTTCCTTATAAAACACGTCTTATTTTAAAAATTAGCACAATTTTAGATCCACGTTTTAAAACAGAAGGCTTCAGAAATGTAGAAAATACAGACTCGGCTTTAAAATTACTTGACAATGAAATATCCTTTTTTATAAACAAAAATAAGGAACAAAAAGAAGTAGAAATTGATAAAGAAATTAAAATTGGTACAGATGTAACCAGTGAAAGCACATCACTATTTTCTTTTATTTAACAAAGAATTAAGGAAAAGAGTAACACTACTTTGGCAGATGTAATAATTACCAAACGGCAGTATTTTGAGAGGACAAACACAGAACAAAGCACTGATCCCCTGCAGTTTTTGAAGGTATGTTACAAATATTTAAATAATATTTGAAATGTATAATTAAAATAATTATTTGTTTAAGCTTATGGGTAATGAGTTTAACATTTTGGACAAATGTGCCTTAAAATATTTATGTGTCCCAGGAACCATCGTTGAAAGTGAAAGGACATTTAGTTCGACTGGTCTAATCGTTACCCAAAAAAATGTGAATAAAATTACATTTTTACATAAAAACCTAAACCTGTACTCCCCTTGCCTATAAAATAATGTAACTTTTTTTTTAACTAATTGAAATATAAGTTAAAATATTAATTTCATAAATAATTTTAATTTTCCTCCTACGTAACATAAAATTAAAAAAAAATATATATGACTATCGAAAACTATCGATAACTATCAATAACTATCGATAGCGATGGCCTCTACTATCGACCTCTACTCCCAAAGAACCTGGCAGAGCGATTTGTTTTCTCTGCAAGATGTCAGTTGCTGCGCCATAGAAACCACTGTACCTCCCACTTGGGATTCTCAGATGATTAAAACTGTTACAAGATTTTGATTTTATTTGATAATTTTTTCAGACTGACAACAAAATTTTAGGTTTAACTTTAGTGCTTTAAATATCAGTGTATTTAAAATGCAATGCATTTCTTATGGAGCTTATTTCCGGGGTTTCCGAATTCTGCCACAAACTTCAGGTAAAGAAAAATTGATATCCGAACTCTGCCACGGATTACAGTTTTAGAGATTAGGTTACCAAATCATTATAGGGTCTCTCCGATCCGATTAAGATATTATCAATGTAGATATCCAAGACATTGCTGATATTTTTTACTATTTGTAGTACTTACGTACCTGAATAAAAATATGAAAAAACAACTCATTCTGAAAATATTAAAATTTATTAAAAAAAAAAAACAGTATAAAATTAGTATAAAAAACCACAAGAATACAAAATTGCAATACACAGTTAATTGAAAATTACAAATATAATAAAAGCTTTACAGGTAAAATAAAATTAGACATTGGGAAGATTTTTAAATGACATTATTTTAACAAACATAAACCGCGAAATAGATTTATTTTTATATTTTTCAATATTTTCTTGTACTGTGTTGACTTTCGTTTGGAATTTTTTTTTAGTTTTTTTTCTAATTATTGTTAGCTGACCGCATTTATGAATAAGTCTCTACTTGAAAATCTAACAATATACGTGTAAAATGCATTATATTGGGGTGTGCTTTATAAAAGGAGCTATTAAAACTTTCACATGCGTTAGTAATCCTCTTAAAAAAATCTGCACTATTTGCCCAAATATTTGGTTGGAATATTGATAAATTGTTGACATATGTTTGTTTTAAATAATTGCGGAATTTAATTACTCCTTTATCATTTGCTAGCAAATAGTGCAATTCTTCGTTAAAAAAAATCTTTAACTTCCTCAGAACTGAGGTACATTATACCAAAATGAAGTTTTAAATATCTACCAATCACAGAATTTTCCTCTTTATATTCCGGAACTAAATTATATTCTTGTATTTTCCGAAACCATGCTTGGCAGAGATAAAATTTGCAAACCAAAAGAATAAGATATCTCCCAAAATATTTATATATTGCGTTGTGAATGCTGATTTCAAAATCTTCCACAATCTCTATTGGTTTAAAATTCAAACCAAAAGCTCTACACTTATTACTAAAAAGGAGGAATACATTGTAATATGTTTCACTTGATTTATCAGGCAATAAACAGAAAACAACCGGTACATAATAACCCTTTTTAATACTATGAATCGTAAACATTTGGTAAAAGAAATTTGTACAAAATTTGAATGTTCCGTCCATCAAAATACACTCTGACTGATACAAAAATGTTAAATTTGAAAAACAGGAAAACACAATTATTTGTTTACCTTATCTGCCACCATTAGAAATTCTTCCCCGCGATTTGTATTCAGATGTAACTCGAGAACAGTATTGAACACCTCTTCTTGGTTTTTAGGTAATATTGGCAAGATTTTTCTTCTTGCCGCATGCATATTTTTTCTTATTTGCTTGATATCTTCTGAGTTTATGTTCTCCGCAAAATTATTTGATTGCAACTCTCGAATTATTAATTTTGCTGGTTTCTAAGCTGTATCACAAGTTGCTTTTCTTTTAACACTATTGCTCACTGTATTTCTTGCAAAATTCATTGCAACACCATGACTGTGTTCTGCTTTGACCTCTATTATTATGTCTTCATTGGAAACGTGGGAGAACACTCTAGCTGTACATTTAGCGTTATAGCATTTCCGTCGAATCTTTCCACATTTGCTAGTATTAGCTTTGGAAAACTAAAAATTATTTAACACAATTAATTTATTTTCTCTTTCACTAAACATGGTAGACGCACTGTTATTTATTTTAATTCAACTAAGGTAGATAATAAATTGTTTCATAAAACCTATTAAGAAACAAGTAACCTATTTCCCCTTCTTAATATTTTCCTAAACAATAAAACCAAGCATTCGTCAAAATATTCCAAGAATTCCATCAATTTTGTTTTTGAGAAAATATAATAATAATTACTTATTTTGTGCCTCTTCTGAAAGGTCTATGGGTACACTCAGAGAATTATATTTAAAAAGTTTTTTGTTGAGAAATTTCTTGCTACCACAAATATATTTTCAGCTACGATTAAAAAAATACACTCATACAACTAAATAAAATGCTTTTTTAAAGTAGTTTTGTCGCCATACAAAAAAAAATTGTTACCTCTGCAAATATTTTTTTTAGTCTATAGAACCAGCAAAAATAATTTTTGCTCTTAAAAATAGTTTTTAATAACTAAACATTTATTTTCTCTAGTAGAAACTCAAAATATTAATACGTATTTTTTCCATCATAACAATTCGCTTTTTAAGTCCAATAGAAAATATCTTTAGAAAATAACGATCGGTTTCGATCGAGAGCTTTTTCGTCTGTGCTCGAGAAAATTTTCGTGTGTTCATCGTACTCCGTTCAGTCCGTTCCCGGTATATCGACAGGCACAGACAAGAACAAGCCAGTGATTGATGTGTGATTTTAATTATAATTACCCTAGCCGCCAGCAAAAATCATCCACGTTACGTTGGCAAATCGTAGGTCTGACGCCATTTTTGCAATAATTGTGCCTAAGTTGTGTTCGTTTTCCAATGGATTACACAGAGAAGCTGACTAACTGGGGACTTCAAGATTTTGTTGAAAATTTTAAGGGTAAGTACATAACGTATAATATAAAAGTATTTTATATCTACTAATTTATCGGTTTCAAATATATTAACCCCTCACTTTAACGTTAATTAAGGAAAAAACCGTAGATAAAGCAAAAAATCTTGCAGTTTTTTCATTAAGATATTAGAAATTCCTTTCTCTATTTTGATGGAACTTGCAGGCTATTTTGAGTACTGAGAGTTAAATGTTTTAGATTAAAACACATGTATGGCAGTGTTTTTTGATATTTTTATTAAATTAAGCAATAGAAAACAAAAATGTTTTGTAATTATTTTTTTTGTACCACTTTTTGGCAAATTAAACATGTACATCTGTAGAGCGTTTAGGTATACATGAAATAACGTATCTTTTTAGGTATACCTTATTTATTTAATTTTGTTTGGAAATTGATAATGAGCATGCCCTAAATTTTTTCTGTTTTAAATGTTCCGGCTCAGGTTTTTTTTAATGAATTTTGATAGTTTTACAAAGGATTCGGGAGACTGAGTCATTTTTTGCAACAATTTAAACTGCCTGTTCAAGGTAACAAAATACTTTTTAACTGCAAGAAAAATACACTGTTTAACCACTAAAAACCTACGTTTTAACCATAAAAAACTACTTTTTAGTAAGTAAAATTTTACTTTCTAACTAATAAAATTAATAATATCTAAAAAGTACATGTTTAGGGACTAAAAAATAAGTTTTTTTAATGAATTTTGACAGTTTTATAAAGGATTCGGGAGACTGATTCATTTTTTGTTGCATTTAATAGTATAACCTTAGCTTTTACAGACCTTAAGGACCAAAATTTAAACATTTCACAAAAATACCTGACATTAATTTTTATCTAAATTCTTAACTTACTGAGCTAGGGGAGGGGGTTTCTAGGATCCACGACTAGTGATCAAGTTTATTAAAATTCGAAATTTGCATTTCTGAGATAGTATTAATAAAATAGAATTTTTTTCTAGATATTAAGAAAGGATCGTTTAGAATGGCCTACCTGGTAGATAGAAGAATGTTATGTTTTAATGTTCCTACCTACTTTAGTTAATAATCCTAATAACATGGATTTTCTTATTCTATTCTATATTATAATAAACAGAAAACAATATATTTAGAATAAAATGTCTTTTAGGATTTTTCACAAAGGATAAATACCGGATTAATTTAAAGCTACTTACTGCTCATTTAAAATTTCTTGATACATATGCCTTACGTTATTATACGTCTAAAGACAAATAAGTTTAAATTGTCAAATAACAATTTTATATTACCTAACCTACTGAATTTTTAAAATTCAAATACACTTATGAAATATTTAGCAATATAACTAATATATTTATTACAAAATAATCGTCTGTTTTATTTTTAAACCCTTCCTTTCCTATGTTGATCTGTATTTCCACCATAGGTTAAATAAAAATTTATGTAAATTATATAGGTAAATTTTGCTCTAATAATTATCTATAGTTTCTATTTTTACAGAACTGGTTTCATTATAAACAAATATAAAGTCAGTTATACTCGGTAAATCTGGAAATTTGACATTTATTACATGCAAAACATTCTTGTATTTCGACGTTAACTGAACTTTATTTTTTATAGAAAAAACGGCCTAAGAGCTGAAGAAATCATCCCTAAATAGCAAAATTTAATTTTAACCATCAACAAATACTTTTTAAAGGTAAAAATTAACTGTATAATCATTAAAATCTACTTTTTAAAGGTAAAAGGTTACTTTTAAACCACTACACACTACTTTTTAACCACTAAAAACAATTTAAAAAAAAAATTAATTTTTTTATCAATTAAAACTACCTTTTAAAGGTAAAAAAATATTTTTTTATTGCATAGAAAGTAATTTCTTAATCAGTACCTAATTTTTAACCAATAAAAACTACTTTTAATTATTAAAAACCATTTTCTAACCACTAAAAACCTAATTTTTAACCAGTAAAATCTATTTTTAAGAGATAAAAATAATTCTTTTACAATTAAAACTGTCTGTTCAAAGTAACAAAATACTTTTTA